GGTAAATAACACATTGAAATACTTTTGGCCTTACAATATGCAAATAAATATTTCTGAAATTCTAAGCACCTCTTATAAACTAAACTAACAATGAAAAAGATTAGCCTTTCATCTTCATTATCTTATCATACATAATGTCAATTTAGCAATGGCAGATCATTCCCAGACACAGAAATTATGAAGATAATAGCTAAACCAAATTTTCTCTACAACTTCCCCAACTCTGAGGTCCTAGTAAAAATGATTTGTAGCTGCTTTATTTGTTGATAGATCTTAGCTGTTAGATCTTGCCTATATTTTTCAACAGATTACTCAGCCTGAAACATTTATTTTCATCTATGATTCCTACACTATTTTCATTAGATGGAATAGTATTAATCAGCACCATGCTGTTCAAGTCACATATACTTTGTGACCTGCATGGCAAGAGAAATAAAATATTATACAATTTCACTTGAATGCTATTGTAATTTCTCAAAAGTTTGTATATTTGTGAGAAGGATGTATGTACAATGAGGATGTAGTATAATTTTCAGTTAGTCAAATCTAGCAATTATGAAAACATATTTAATTCAATTCTCCACTGATTTTCTGAAATCTAAAGATGGAATCAAAATGAGAATTATGGCTGATTTTCATTAGGTCTGCTCCCAAACAGAAGACCCAGGTACTGAACATGCCACATCATTTTTTGCTTTTGATTTTTCTGGCGGCATTCAAAGATTAATAGTGAGGAAGACGCTTAATAATTAACTTTTATAAATGTTTTATTATTGCCCCCCTATCAAGCTATCTAGAATTGTTTTCAGGCCTGGTCTAGCAGCTCACGCCTGTAATCCCAGCACTTTGGGAGACCAAGGCAGGAGGACTGCTTGAGCCCAGGTGTTTATGACCAGCCCAGGCAACACAGTGATTAGCTGGATGTGGTGGTGTGTGCCTGTAGTTCTAGCTACTTAGGAGACTGAGGCAGGAGGATTGCTTGAGCCCAGGAGTATGAGCCTGTGGTGAGCTGTGAGTGTGCCACTGTACTCTAGCATGGGCAATAGGGACCCTGACTCAAAAACAAACAAACAAATCAATAAACTTAACAAAATAGAATTGTTTTCACATTATTAGTCCACGAGGTTAAAAACTTTAGTTAGAACACATATAAAGACAAATAACACACAAAAATATTTCACAACTGTCAATGGCCAAGATCCAGATTTTAAGTTATATTACCATTACTTAGTGAATTTTAGATTAGTGAGAATAATCCAAATCAATAAATACAATTTAGCATTCTAGATAAATCCTTATAACACTTCTCTATACCTAGCTATGGAGAAAAATCTCTAACTTCTATCATAAGATTTAAGATTATCAGCTAAGTTGCAGTTGTATAAGTGCAGAGAACTAAGCCATTAATAACCATGCTTGTGTATTCTCACTCAATACTTATTAACCCATTTTAAGGATCAGCGGCTTTTTGAAAATTATTTAATAATTGTTAACAGTCTTCTCATCTTGCCTAGAATTTGAATTTATTTTAATAATGAGTAGTTTTCTAGTAAATGCTTAACATTCTACTTAACACAGATGCTATGGCTCATGCTGGAAATTCTTCAAATTACTCTACCAAAGCTGATCAGAGAGATGGGCTACACAGCAACAGAATTTATGAATCAGAAATAAAGGGAAAATACAAATATGTATATTCCGAATTATCATAGGAAACCAAGTTTGTTTGGAAACAGATTCATTAAAATACACATTTTCCTCATTTCATTGGTACTGGCTGCAGATTGAAGACATTCTCAATTTAGGATATGAACAGCAAAATAGAATCTTATACTCACTAATTTTTTTTGAAAATGCAAAAAACCAACATATGTTATATTCTTGCTTTATTATTTTGCCATCATTCTTAATATAGATATCTTTGTAGTGAATATTATTATGAATTTGTGATTAGTCATGAAGTTTACATTCTTGGTTGGAAAATGGACAATAAAGAAATAAATTGGCCGGGCTCGGTGGCTCAGCCTGTAATTCCAGCACTTTGGGAGGCCGAGGTGAGTGAATTGCCTGAGCCCACGGGTTCAAGACCGCCTGGGCAGCTTGGCGAGACCTCATCTCTACAATAAATCAAAAATTAGCCAGGTGTGGCAGCGCGCGCCTGTAGTTCCAGCTACTTGGAAGACTGAGGTGGAAGGATCGCTGGAGCCCAGCAGGTCGAGGCTGTGGTGGCCGGGAGCGGCCACTGCACTCCAGTATGGGTGACAGAGTGAGACTACAACTCAAAAAAAAAAGAAAGAAATTATATAGAATATTAAATAGTGATAAGTACCAAGAAAAAAATAATAAAGCAAGAAAGGAGTTTAGAAAGTATGTATGTGTATGAGTGAAATGGGATAAAAGGCGTTTAAATATTTAGATTGGTCAAGGAAGGTCCATTATCCAAATCATATAGAGAGAACAGCGAGAAATTCATGCCACTGTTTATTGTAAGCACAAGATGTTTTTGCCAAATTGTTATTCAGGATGTGTCTCTCAGAAACTCTTGTTTAGAAGAATCAAATTTCCAAAAAGTTTAAATAGGAAGGGTTAACTCTATTTAATGGAAGAAATTATATTACATAACATGCTTTCTTTAGAAAACAGGCTTCTTAATTTTATTTTTAGGAGAAGAAATTATAAATCAGGAAAGAAAACAAATGAATTACTATAAATAGTTGAATTTTTATCTTAGACAGCATAGTAGCATTTCTAAGGTACTTTGAGATTTCAAGTTTTGATTCATTATGGCAGAATGTTCATATTCTTCAAAATGATAGTGATTGCTTGAACATCATAGAGTACCTTAACTTTGAATGAAAATAGCTGATCAGAAATATGACAGTACTGCAACATCTGGGTGATGACCCTTTCACTACTGTAGCTGGTTTTCTGTGGCCTCTGCTGCCCACCAGAGTAAAAGATAAATGAATATGCTAGTACTTTCACTATTCCCAAGCCACTACCTGGCAAAGTTTTCCATCTTTAGAGTACTGCATTCCTTCTTGCAGGATGACTTGGGAACCATTTAATGTATTTAGACTGTAATGATCCCTTTTTACCCACAAGGAAGGAGATCCACTGACTGCCTCATTTCCTATTGTTATAGTAGCAATTTGAACATGGGAAAGAACTGATCTCTGTCATTTCTGTGGCATATTTTCCCTTGTGGCTTGGTAGTTAAATTGTCTACAATGCAGTGTGCAACATTCAAATTGCAGGATGCTTCAACTGTCCATTATCTACAGGAGAGTTTATGAGCATCCTTTCCACAGCTCAGCCTTAGAGAAAGAAGCAGCACTAAACTGAGTTATGGCCTAAAACTGCTGAACATGTGATCATAGCAGTAAAACCAAGTGATAGAAGCTCAGATGCTGGGGTTAGCCTGATTTCAAATCCTGAGTTGCCTAATTACGCAACTGCAGGACTAGAGGCAGGTTGTTTAAGCCTCTGTATACCACAATTTCCTCATCTGTGAAATGAAAATAACAAGAGTAAAAACATCATAGGGTTGATGTGAGGAAAATAAATGTCTCTGGAGTCTCCTAGGAGAGGAAGAAAGATCACAGAAAAAGTATTCAAAGAAATAATGGTTGAAAAAGATATAATGGCTGAAAGTTTTCCAAATTTGATGAAAAAAGTTCAATGACCTTCAAGACTAGAAATATGAAGAAAACCACATCAAGGAACATTATTTTTTTTAAAAAAAAACTGTCAAAAAGTGCAATTTTCAAACAAGGATGACTCTTCCCTATCCCTATCCCCTGGGATACATTTATCAATGTCTGAAGACATTTTTGCTTGTCATAACTGGGGGCGAGGAGGTGGGGATATGCTGTGTGACTGGCATCTAGTGGGTAGAAACCAGGAATGTTGGCAAACATCCTACAATGCATACGACAGCCCTCACAAAAATGAATTATCTTGCCCCAAACTGCAGCAAGCTAAGGTTGAGAAACCCTAAAGGCATACAATAATCAAATGCTTAAAGTCAGTGGTAAAGTCTTAAAATCATATCCTTTTCAGAATCTGTTTTTTCATTATTAACACACTAGTCTACCACATGAATTTATTCAGACACTTTGATGCCCAAAGTTAGCTATGGTAAAGCATTAGTTCTTCACTTCCTCATGACTCCTTAGGTAGAAGGAATAAGGTTGAAAGTGGTCCTAGTCATGGCAAAACCTGATATATGCCATTTATTAAAAACCATCTTGTAGGTTTATCTTTACAGATATCAGGCCTGGAGAAGGTGAAAAGAGATGGTCATGTTTGTGTGATAAGTCCCAGACAAAAACCTGAGAATTACTTATTTTAAACATACAAATCTGAACTCATTGGTTCACTCTATGTAGATCTTAATAGACTGTACACAGGGAGCGATGAACATAGGTTTTGTTTCGTTTTTCTAAACAGTTAAAAAAAAGACACACTAAAAGAAAATAAGATAGAAAACCACTTAGACTTGACTACTAATCAGCAAAATTGTTTAGTTTTAAAAAATCAGAAATTCTTTAGTGCTCTAAATGAGTCAAAATTGAGTTTTGTGTCTTTAGAAGTATTCCTCTAAATGAATATTCAACACAATTAGGACATCCAAACCAATTTTCTTCTTTAGTGGAGGAGATGATGGGAAAGTGTGTTTTATAGGAGAAGCAGTAATGTTAATGAAGGATATACATGATTCACCTTGACAGAATACAGAGCTACAGACAGTGAAGGTAGACACAATTTTACAGTTTTTTGGGTTTTTTGAACTTTACTCAGATACCTTTTTTTTTTTTACTCCATCCTTTCTCAGGTGGTTCTATACATTATAGTAAATTCAAAACAATGAAATTTTATGTAACTTATAATTCATTAACTCTACCAACATGTTTTATTTTCCCTTCCAAACAACTTAACTATGTTTATAGTCCTTTATGCTCCCTAATAAGTGAATAAAAGAAAAGGTTTATACTTACTGGAAAGAACAGTTGTAAGAAAAATGTAGTCTGAAAAGGATATGAGCCCACATTCTCCAAGAGTGTAAAATATACTGCCTTCATCAGCAAATTTTTCTCGTTCCTGGGAAATTTTCTATTACAAGTGTGGGTCCCACCAAAAGATAAAAAGAAGATATAACTGAGTTAGGACATAAATAGTAAGAGATGAATCACCATTTATTTGACAGTTTTATGCTATTTATAATAAGCATTTCTCTGATGGCCATTCAAAAATCAATGGATCCTTTACAGTTTTCAAGATGATGAAAATTCCATGACAAAAAATTATTTTCTCACTTCAATGCTGCTTTCATATGAACATTAGAAAATAATTTCAATTTTATAACCCCTACCATTGAACACATACAGGCCCACTTCAGAAGTGGTTATATTTCTTAGTTTTAAAAACAATCCACCTTCTCTTATGGAGGTATATAGGTAGTAAAAAAAAAAAATTAAAACAACAAACAAATGAAAAAAACAAAAGTAAATCAGTTTTAATTGCCCAAGAAAAACTATACTGCTAGTGACCAGAAAAGAAGAAGTGAGCAATTATTTCCAAGGCCCATACAAATGCTCAGAAAACTAATTTCTAAAATACTAATTTCAATTTTACCTCACGACACCAGGAATCTTAGTTTTGGAATACAGAACAGTATGCAGAATAAAGAGCATCTCTGAAATGTAATGGCAAATCAGACCTGCACACCAAGAGTTTGGTACAATTTAATCATATCTAATGTGCCTTAATGGAGTCTCCTAAATTTCAGCTATTTGAGACAGTTCCTAAAACTTAGCTTGTACTCTAAGTATATGCTCCTTTTCTTTAATCTGTAAATCTTTCATAGAAAGTTAATTGTCAGTTTCATTAACGGTTTGTCTGGCAAGTGGTCTCTTTCTGGATGTTTAAATAAACCTATCCTGTTTTTGGAATTCCTAGCCAAAGCATAAACTTAGTAGAGACATTGAAAATATCTTCAAAAACTGAAAAGGATCCACCAAAAAGTTAGACTTGAAACTAATTTCTGTAAGTTTTGGACCACCAAAATACTCAAGGAATTATTCTGAGTAACAACAACAACAAAAGAAATAAGAGGTTTTAAGAACCCAAACCAATAAAGCGCAATCAAATTAAGTCATGCAAGCACAAAGTAAGAGGCAGCATTGCAGGCATAACTTTAAGAGGAGTATCATGAAAACTAAACCAACAAGCACCACCACACCAGCATCCAGGTACACAACTATCCAATAGGTTACCTCTGTCTAGTGGAGATCCCATCATATACCACAAAGGAAAGAAAACTGGTTAACCAACTGAAAACACAAGTACCACATGACTCATCATGAAGTCATTTGCATGATTTTTTCAATAAACTCATCCAAAATATCCTCTAATGTATATTTGAAACAATAACCATGGACAGGTAAAAATCCACAGCTGATGCCAATAAAGCAGGTTTTTTGAGGGCAGTTTCTATTTAAGAAAGGGCTTCTCTAACTTCATTTGTGGCTGACAGAGGCATGATCCTGCTAGATAGCACTTAGAGATTATTTCTTTGAGCTGACAGCAAAAAATAGCACATAGTCCAATGTGTTCTAGTTAAGGTTAGATCTCATACTACATTTTTTTTTTTAAAGTAGGATTTATTGAGAGGACAGAAAAACTCCCACAGTGGGAGGGGACTCGAGGGGGTTGCCTCATACCACATTTGATCTTCTACCAAGAGATTAAACATAAATTTCAGACCCCCCAAAAAAAAAAATTTACTGGATGAGAACTAGGGCAGCAAAGCCTTTCACTGGGGGGTTAATATTTATCAAAATAAAAGAATGAAAAGTTACATTTTTTACATAATCCAAGATCCTGCAAAAGCAAAGGATGAAAATAGGAAAAATGTAAAAAAATGATAATAGATTCACAAAGTCAAAGTCAGACCATTACCAGCCAGGACAATAAATGTGTGTAGAAGCTGAATACTTAATAATGATGATGTAATAATCTTACGGAGAAACTGCTACAAGCAATTAAAATAAATAACATAGTAGAAGCCAGAAGTTGAAAAACAGACAAGTCTAAAGACAGAGTGAAATGGGGCAGTTAAGCCAAACAAGCATACCTAACATTTTTCTAACAATCACCAGGACTGTGCTGCTGCTCAGAAGATAACACAAAGACAAATCTAATTTTGTTGGTAACTTTAAATTTTGAAGTGACTTTACAATCACTGAAAACTTGAAAGTTTAAGAACTATTGTATACTGTATACCCCGATTCACCAACAGTTTGCATATTACCCCATTTGCCTTATATCTTTTTCTGTGTATCGCTTTGAAAGGAAACTGAAGATATCATGTCCCTTTACACTTAAATACTTCAGCATAGATTCTACAAATAAAGACATTCTCTAATGTTCACAGTCCTGAACAGCATAATTCTGAATGCTGAAATCCCAAAAGACCAAAATCCCTGAAGTCTAAAATCTGCAAAATATAATTCTGGTATATAATTTATACCACAGTATATAGGTAATGAAACCAGGAAATTTAACACTGATCCAATACTATGAACAAATTCAGTCCATTTTCAAATTTAGTCAACTTTCCCAACACTTTTCTGTATAGCTATTTTTTTCCATCAGTCACAGATGAATTCACAATCATAAACTGCATTTAGTTGCCATGGCTCTCTAATCTCTATTAATATAGAACAGCTTTTCTTTGTCCTTTAGTTTTTTCTTTTAAAGTTTATTATTTTTGATGTGGTAAAATTCATATAAAATTCACCACTTTAATCATCTAGCCATACATTACATGGGCCTATTGCATTTGGTTTCTTTCGCTTAACATAATGTTTTCTAGGTTCATCCATGTTGTAACATGAATTAGTATTTAATTCCTTTTTATCATCAAATAATATTCTACGTATGGGGAGTTGATCATAATCCAAAAGACACAATCCTGAATGCTGCAATCCCAAATGTTGAAATCCCAAAAGATCAAAATATCTAAAGTTTAAAATCCCAAAATTATAATTCTGGAAGAAATTAGAAAAAAAAATTTTTTTTTTGAGTTGGAGTCTCACTCTGTTGCCCAGACTGGAGTGCAGTGGCCACTCCTGGCCACCGCAGCCTCGACCTGCTGGGCTCCAGTGATCCTTTCGCCTCAGCCTTCCAAGTAGCTGGAACTACAAGCGCGCTACCATGCCCAGCTAATTTTTTTGATTTATTGTAGAGATGAGGTCTCACCAAATTGACCAGGCAGGTCTCGAACCCGCGGACTCAGGCAATTCACTGACCTCAGCCTCCCAAAGTACAAGATTACAGGTTGAGCCACCGAGCCTAGCCTAGAAAATTATTTTTAAGATATTTACTTACATTTTTTTTTTTTGAGTTGGAGTCTCACTCTGTCACCCAGACTGGAGTGTAGTGGCCACTCCCGGCCACTGCAGCCTCGACCTGCTGGGCTCCGGCGATCCTTCCGCCTCAGCCTTCCAAGTAGCTGGAACTACAGGCGTGCGCTACCACACCCGGCTAATTTTTGATTTATTGTAGAGATGAGGTCTCGCCAAGTTGCCCAGGCGGGTCCCGAACCCGCATGCGCAGGCAATCCACTCACCTCGGCCTCCCAAAGTGCTGGGATTACAGGCTGAGCCACCGAACCCAGCCTACTTACATTTTTAAAGGAGATTTATTTGAGAAACAAAAACATGGCAGAGCACTTTAACCAGATGAACCATATTCATAAAGAAATAGGTGAAAGGGAAAATGTATAAATGCACATTACTATAGTTGATTGTGTGTACCCAGCTTTGTAACTGCGGTCATCTGAAATACTGTGATGGACATGATCTGCATTGCTGCTTCTGGCACCAGAAATTTTTACCAGGAAAAAAGGAACTGTTTTTATGGCTATCACTGGGCTGGGGAGTGAGGAATGTTCACCAGTAAGTTAAAATACAATGTTTTCTCTACAAATTTCAGCAGCTTCTGCTTTAAGCATTCCTCTGATTGTTTTAAGCCTTTGATTATATTCTCAAGATCTGAACAACTTGACTGAGTTTTTGGCAGCTTAATCATTGGTTTAATGGAGGGATGTAGTTTTGGAGTTCACTACTCTGTCATTTTTTATCTCTTTGTACTTAACCTTGACAGATGCAGGTGAACTGTATTGTAGAATATTCCTCATGCTGAGTTAGGCTAATGTTTACTTATGATCAGATTCATATCCATCCATCTATAACAAACTATAAATTCATACTGCTGTCTAGAATTCCATTCTAGGATACAATTTAGTCTTATTCCTTACACACTTGTTACTCCATTTTTCAACAATGTGAAATCTGGTTCCCATTATCTTCAATATATTTACTAATTTGCTAGTGTAGAATATACAAAAAGTAGTTTTATAAACACTATTATATCTCTGCCAAAGACAAACATACCCATATCATCTAGAGTTCAGTATCTGTTACTATTTTAAATACAAACTATATATGATGAAATGCACAAATCTAGTGTCTAATTCAATGAATTCTGAACGATATATAGCTGAGAAATTCACATCTTCAAGATATGGAATGCTCCCATCACTTCTGAAAGTTCTTTTATGCCCCCCCCATAGTAAATTCCTATCGTATTTTAACCATAGTTTTGCCTGTTCTAGAACTTCATGTAAATAGTATTACTAGTATATACTTTGGAATCCTGATTCTTTAGCTGAGCATTATGTGGGGCAGATTCATCCATACTGCAATAACCAGTAGTTCATTTGTAATGCTGTGTAGTAGTTTATACTGCTTATTAGTAAAATAAAAAATAATAAATGCATTTATTACAATAATTTATTTTGTGTATAATGGTAATACACACAAGTAATATAATTTATTCATTCCTTATTGACAAACACACTTTGGTCTTTTTCAGTTTTTGACTACTATAATTTTCCTCAGAGTTACTGTGTCTTTTTTACTTGTACCACCAATGGATTAGAGTTCCAGATGCTCCACATCATTGCCAACATTTGTGTGGCCAGACTAGTTAATTTTAGCCATTTGAATAGATATTTCTAGCTATTTAATTGTGGTTTTATTGTATGTTTCCCCAGTGACCAATGTTGAACACATTTAATTTTATTTATTGGTGACTGTATATCTTTCTTTGGGAAGTATTTGTTCAAGACTTTTGCTCATTTTTAAATAAGTTGTCTTTTTTTTTTTTGGAGTGCAATGGTATTATGATTCTGGCTTACTGAAGCCTCAATGTCCTGGCTTCAGGTGATTTACCCCATCTCAGCCTCCAGAGTAGCTGGGACTTTGGGCACACACAATCATGCCCATGCTATTTTTGCAGAGATGAGGTCTCACTATGTTGCCAAGGCTGGTCTCGAACTTTTGGGTTCAAGCAATCCTCTCACCTTGGTACTGGGATTATAGGGAAGAATCACTACACACAGCCAGGTTGTCTTTTTATTACTGGTCTGCAGTAGTTCATCATATATTCTGGATATCAGACTTGTCACTGTGGTAGCCAGCATCCAAAATGACTGATGATTCTTGCCTCTTAGTACTCACAGTCTTATACAGTCCTAGTCTCCTCCCACTGAATCTGGGTTGGTCTGTATAACCAATAAAATACAGCTAAAGTGATGATGTGTGATTTTTGAGGTTGTCATATAAGGCATTTTGCTCTGCTGGGGGAAGCCAGTTGCCATATGAATAGAGCATTCACACAGGTCTATGGAGAAGACTATAGGGAGAGAAGTTGAGTTCTCTCAACAACAGTCAGCATTATTTTACCAGACACATTTTAGTGAGCCACCTTGGAAATGAATCCTCATGATTGGTCAAGCTAGATGACTAAGGTCCCAGCAACATCTGAATGCAACCTCAGGAAAGAGCCTGAAGCAGATCACCTATCCAAAGTACTTTCAGATTCTCAATTCACAGAAATAATAAGAAACAAGAAATTATTATTACTGTTTTAAGATGCTAAGCTTTGATCTGTTACTCAGCAATAGATCACAAATATAGTCAAATATACATATTACAATATTTTCTACCAGTCTGGCTTATCATTTATTTTGTTTTGATAATCAGAATTTTTATGAAGTCTAACTTATCAATTTTTTCTTTTATAGTTAATGCTTTCTATATGCTGCTTAATATATTCTTATATTTTCTTTCAGAAACCTTATAGTTAAAATTTTAACATTTAGGTTTATGGTTCATTTCAAGTGAATTTTATGCATGGTGAAGTAAGGAGTAAG